AACCAGATCGCATATGACCTCGAATATGGCACAGTTTCCGGTGTGAGTCTTATTGTGCGCTTTCCTCGTTCTGTAAACCTTGGCAGGTCACATACAACATTTCTCCACGCGCATTATTGGCTTCGTTCTTAATCAGGACTAATTCTGGGAAATCAAGCGATAAGGATCATCGACTGATTTAGTTACGCGTCGCCGCTCAGCCCGCCCCGGGTGCTAAACACTTACCCTTTCCCGCCAGCTTACAACATGTTTCCTTTGACGGAGGAATCGACAAGCTGCTTTCAGCTTGCATTTTCCCTTCACCATCGTATGCACACTATCTCTTTGGAGTAAGAAGTTTGAGTCTCTTATAGCGTTCATTCATGAGTAATCGAAAGCATACACTTCATAGGTGTTTGCGATGCTGTTTAGACGGAGCATGAAAGGAGATAGACCAACGATTCCGTATTGGACTCTGATCTACCTATTGTGACCCACGCCAACCATCGGAGAACAAATTGCATGTCAGCAGCAATTTCAATGAACCAGTTCTCTCAGTGAAAGACTTCGCGAGAAAGTATATTGCATTTTATTATAGTTGAGTTCTGTAAACTCCAAGAGAAATTGATATACATTGTGAAAATATAAGTGGGCAACATCAGCGAGCCAACCCTGAAAGAAGGGTTTCCCTATAGGAACCAGTGACGAAAAAATAAACTCCACATTGACAGAGAGGAGATCAGAGTCGGCGAAAACCGGTCCCGGAAAGCACACTTTGTAGACCTGCTTTGCGCTTCCGTGCACCTACTGTCGGCCCGAGATCTGTGGCGCTCGGACTGCTGGACACAACCGCACTCGCTGAAGTTTTAGACGCAGCCACATCCGTAACAGTAGCTGTCAACGTGGCAGTTGGTTGGTTGGTCGTCTGTGGGTGATCACCTCCAGTAGCAGCAGCAGTCGCGGTCGAGCAGGAGCCACATCGCCAATCCTGATGGCTTGTACCGGATGATGTGAGGACTGGTGGTTGATGACACATTTGATGATACAATGCACCACACTGTACACATTCAACCAAAATGTTCGCATTCATTGTCTTCCCGTCCGGTTCGAGTTGAGGCTGTCTCGTCAGCTTACCACATTCACAACAGGCCAACTCGGCCACAAGCATAGCTAAGAGTTGATTATCGGCAGTCGGCGCATCCGATGTGCTTGTGTTAGTACGTACGGACCCCGAAACATTGACCGCGGTTGCGGCTGTGACTTGGGACGAATCGGCAGAAGCTATGTCGGACGTCTTTCCGGTTGATATGGTCACAGACGATGATATATCGGTGTAGGAAATGGCGGCTGTTGTGTCCATAGGCTCTGATTGAGTATCGTTTTCACCTAAAATAAAATAGCACGTAAA